CACGTCATGTCTCATCGAGCAACGACGGAATTAGAAGAAAGCTTTAGGCTTTGGCTGGAGAGCGAGCGATGAGCTGGTGTTTAGCCTTGGCGTGTATTCTGTCCATTCGTTTGCGTTGATGGTAGTAGATCGGCATAATCAGGTACTTGAGAATCGTCCATGGGAAAAGATGCATCAGCAGTAACTGAAGCAAGAAGATTTTTAAAAAAATATTGGCGAAAATCTAAAAAATTGATAGATAAGGGCTTAGTGTGATTTGGTGGTGCTCAAAATCCGTCAAAAAAACGCAAAACGGGACCCCTGGTTTTCACTCATGAACAGGTAACAGCTCAGAAAGCGGACGTATGAACGAGTTCACCGCAACGCGTTTGGTGGCACCATGCCAAACCACGCTTAATCGAGTGCTCCAGTTGTGCCGCTGCTGGCAACGCAGCTCGTCCAAATCACCAACTAAACTAGTGGGCGGATCGCTTTTGGGGGCGGAGTGCTTTCGAAGTCCTGCTCAGCAACCTTGTTGTGAAAGCGCCACTCGCTTCCCTTGGCAGCCAAGTAACTGATTCGTGTGGTGCATATGCTTCCCCGATGCGCTCCCTCCTTATCGTAATCGCTGCCTTTAATCCTTTTACTCGTGGTGGAACACATATGGTCTATTGTGATGGTATGTATGGGTATAATCAGATAAGCTGGGAATTGAAATTTTTCCATACGGATTTGCCAGAATTAGGGGCCTTTTTGTGAGGTACATTTCTCTATATCCGACAAAGAAACATGTTCGCAGGGTGGAGAGAATAGGTGAGAAAGCAAATCAGCGAGAGGACACAGGCAGGGTCAACAGTTCGTTGTTCGGACCCCAAGAATTTTACGACCTCCCTTCTTCAGAAGGTCAGCGACTCCTCACCACCACTATCAGCCTTAGATATAAGCCTTATATGGCTCTGAACCAGTCGAAACATACAGCCTATTTCTGCCGACGGAAGAAAATAAACATGGCTGACGCAAATCCGCTAATTTTGACAGCTTATTGCTACTTTTCAAATTTCCACCACATTTATCAAAAAGCTCGTCAAAGCGACCTACTCCCCCGCCACCACAATCCATCCAGCTTCCGAAAATACGGCCCTCCTTTTTTAAACCTTTTGACCTTCACTAACCCCGACACGAACCCGCTCCGAAAAAAAACGAATAGGGCCTTATGAGTTGTCGGTCGAAGGGCAATGTCCCATTGTCAATCGTTCTGACTGCCTCTCTGTTTGCCTTTCCATTGGCGGAATGCCTTTTTTCCCAGCAGGGGCAGGGAATTGGAACAAGGAACCGAAAATGAGGAATAATTGGCATTTTCCGAAACCACGTGAAATATTGAAATCATATTTCACGCAGACATAACATTTTAGCGTTTGATAATAGTCTACGCATAAACGGGTTTTACTGTTTTCTGTCTTCATCAGTCATACAGACTTGTGTATTTTTAGAATTTTGAGGTAATGGCGAGCCTTTAGTGATTAGAACTGTTCTGCTTCGGCTTTCGCAATGCCCACTTCAAAAGGCCATAAAAGAATGACCTCAGGCACGTACCTGTATTTCATGATTAAAGCATCCACTGGTCTTCTTAGTTAGTCCAATAGAGTTGACCAGCGTTGGTCGCACAAAAATCGGTGTACTATGAGGTTTGTGCTATTAAGATGATATTTTTCAACAGTCTATGGTCTTTGGTTGATTGGATCCCACGGATGGATCAGGATAAACACAGGAGATGATCCTTATCGTGATGTTCGGTTCGTAGTAAACGCGTCCGTTTACGAGATACGCATCGCAGTCGACCCTGTTTCTGGTCGTTTTGCTGATTCGTTGACGAGATCCATTAAAACCGATAACCGCCTCAGATTTTGCTTCAGTAATTGGGACAACCTTTCTAGAGAATAAAATGTGTAAAGGGAATTTTACTGACGGAATTACTTTCAGAGAGGTTCAACTTTTGTGGTTACACCCGATAACTTTGTCAGAGAAGCGG